ACATCTTCTCTATTTGAACTCGAACTCCCTGTATGCAATGGCGTTGGAGGGCGATTCACATCTCTTGCTTCCCCTCCGACTGAAAGTGGGGTATCTGGAAGGTCTTTGCCTAAGAACAGAGGAGTAACGACAGGGCTGTCATAAACATTTTCCTCGTGAGAACATTCAATCTGGGCTTTTGTCTTTATTTGGCCCACTAGCTCAGGCTGGACATGGATTAGGGAAGGGGTTCGGGTCTCTAGGTCGGGTCGGGCTTTGGAATGGCCGACCACCCGACATCTACTATCCTTCTTCCCCTGGGTTTCTTTCTTCTTAAAATTTAAAATTTGAGTAAAGTTTCCTTTTCTTGCCCGAGCTCCCTCCCCAGTCCCACCAGATTTCCTTTTATGGTTCCATGCTCTTTTCTTATGAAGAAATCTTTTTTGCATCTTGTTGGTCTTGAATCACACTCAACCTCACCTTAGAGGCAGATGGCGCATCAACTTCCCTTTCTGCGCCACATGTATTGACACCAGTCTGGTGAGTTAACTCAGCTAAGCTCTGTACTGACTCGTTCGTCTTATCCATCCTGAGTGAGCAATAGAGCCATACATCTCTATCGAGGATGGGAACTACACGAGGCACTTTGTAAACTCCTCTACCTCTCACCCTGATCCTGGCAAATCGAAGTTCCTGGAAGCCACTTGTGTTATCTGGAGGGTGTTATCTTAACAACTGCCTTTAGGTGGTACTCAGTTTTTTTGTTGGTTCATATAACCTTGACCAATGTCCATCCTGGACTATTACTCTTTTAGGACTTTTAACTGCAACAGTGCACTCCAACTTGTGCTGTCAATGAACTTTGTTGCACAAGATAAAAGCATTAATTGGAATGAAGTACTTTATTGGGGATATCTTAAGATTATGAATCTGAATGACTTCAATTCCTTGTAAGCCCATGCTGGAACTGGACCTCGTTTTTTTTCTTCATCTGAATTATCTACTCGACAGTCAAAGCAACTCAAACTCTACCTTTGGTTCTATTCTACTTCTCTGGGAAATATCCTCTTGCTCTAAATTCTTTTAATTCCATAAATCCAAGGCATTCAAAGTAGTTCAAGATTCTGCATTTAACACCCCATTGGGCAAAAAGGGGAAAATCAACCAATACAATTAATTTTTAGACCCAAATGTTAGTTGCCAGAACTCTCTCTCTCTCTCTCTCTGAAAAAAAAGAGGAAGTAAACTATGGTTAAGGAACCTGTGATATTTCTCCAAAATATCCTATGTACTTATTCTGTCCCTTCATGTTTTTGCATGATGCAACTTATCTTCCTGTAGGGGGTAGAATTGGASCTTCAGAAAATCAACTACTTGGAAATGGATTGAACACATTGTTGTTTTATCACCAATAATCTGTTGAAGTGATTAATGTGGATGTAAGTCATGTTGGTGAGAGAGAGACTGAGTCCTGGAAGCGAGTTTGGCAGGGAGGTTCATTGGGATTGATTTGGAAGTCGAGAAGGTAGAAGCATGGGTGTCTTTTGAATGGGGAAGGGATAGGCTTTTGGGTGTCAGGAAACATAATGGGGGGCTGTTTCTCTTCATGTTTCGTAACAGAGCTGAAGTAGAGTGGGTGCTGGAGTTAGAAAGGGAGATGATCAAGGAGATTGACTTACATTTAAGTAGGTGGTTCCCGGCAGCAGGGGCAATTGGTGGCGGCTTGAGAAGAAGAGCATTGTGGATTGGGGTGTTGTGTATACCACCTCTTCATGTGTAGTGTTTACTCACATTCGGAAATTGGAGGGCTCTATGGCAAATTTCTCAAACATGATGACAAAAATAAGACATGGGATAAGTTGACGTTGCTAGAATCTTGGCAGAGGTTGAGGACGTTGCTAGGATCCCAAACATGGTGGAACACCACTTTGTTGGGGAGAGTCATGATCAGAGGTTGCTCGTAGAAGGGGAGGATCAGGCTTTCTTCAATGTGGCAAGGGCAAAAGAAAATAAAGAGGAAGAGATGGAGGGAAGAAAAGAGGAATGGAGTGTGGTAGAGTAGGATTAGAGGGAAGGAAGTGGTGAGAATACGAAAAGATGGCCAGAGGAGGAAGACAATAGGCTGGGGTCCTCGGGAGAAAAGTTGTAGTTTTGGGAGGGGAAGGTGAAACTGAAGCAGTGGTAGGGAAGCACACGGGAGGAGTATGTGGGTCCTAGGGAGGAAACTAATTTTAGTGGGGACCACTTCATGTCAAAAATGTTAAAGAGAGATGAAAGAAAAGACAAGAGAATTAGATCAAGGGTTTCTAGAAAGGGAGCTGGAGGAAAATCTTTTGTCTGATTGAGCCGTTAAGGTCATTTTGGTTTCTAAAGAAGAGAAGAGGAGGGGCTCAAGCTTGTAGAGAAGAGAAAGAAGAGTGGATCTGGGTTATATCCGAGTATGATGGTGCAGGGAAGAAGACTCGAGGTTGACAAAGGATAAAGAAGAGGTGATAGTGATTGATAGATCAAGTAAAGGTTCAAGCAAAGGAAGGGATAGAAGCGATTTTCAAAGCGGTGGACTCTACGGAGGTGGTAGCGAGTGACAATTTTAGTCAAATTGGAGCTGGAGTAAGTTCAAAAGAGGTTGACAAAGGATAAAGAAGAGGCGATAGTGATTGGTAGATCAAGTAAGGTTCAAGTGAAGGAAGGGACAGATGCAGTTTTCAAAGCGGCGGACTCTACAGAGATGGTGGTGAGCAACAATTTTAGTCAAACTGTAGCTGGAGAGATCTCAAAAGAGGTAAGTGATATCCCTGTTTTGATCTCAGGGTTGGAACTTATCTGTGAAGTCGAAGAGGAGGGTGGTTTGAGGGAGAAGGTGAAGGAAGGAGGGAGGGGCTCGAGGGGAGAGCTCATGATTGAGAAAATGACATTTTTGATCGATCAAAAGTAGTTAAAGTTGAGGGAGGCAATGAAGCATAGAAGAGGAAGGTTTCAACAGGCACAGTTAAGACTTGTTGGTTACTGAAGTGATTGTTAGAAAAGTAGGAATCGATTTGAGTTGGAGGAGGGAGCAAGATAAGAATGAAAGTCTGGATACTTTGGTGGCTGCGAAAAAGGTGAGAGGCTCAAGCAATCCTCAGATTGTGCGCATTACCAAGGTTTTCTCGCGGCTTAAAGAGGATATTGTTGGAGTGGGTCCCAGTAGCAAATTCAAAATATTGTACAAGAAGGGGATAAAACTAAAATTCAGATGGGGAGATTCAAGACTCTGTGGATACGATCAGGTAGGAGTTCCCTTCAGAGTCTATTTTTGAGGGGTAGATGGAAGCTAATGAAGATAGGAAAGGAAGGCGGAAGCGAAGTTAAGAGGGAGGGAAGATGGTAAGGAGGGTTTAATAAGGAAGGGTGGACTGTAAGGAAAATTGTTGATAGAGAGGTGGAGATTGGCAAAGCCAGAAAAGCTTTTGAAGAATTTGAGAAGATGGGGGAAGAAAGCATTAAAAGATCAACTACAGGGGAAGGGAGAGAGATTTGGAATGAGCAAGGAGGACAAGAAGACTTTTATAATGGGGAAGACTGAGTTTGGCCATGGGAAGATATAGTGGGGGTTGATGTCTGTTGCTGGAAGGGTTGGATCTCAAATTCTCTTKTGTGCTTTTGTGTATGTTTTTGTTGCAAGTCTTGTTGTTAGATCTTTCGAGAGGTGTTTTCTTAGCACCTATGGTGTGGTTGTATCCAGCTTCTTTTTATCCTTTTAATAAAATTTTTCTTTTTATCTTTTAAAAATTAGAAAAAAAAACCTAAAAATAGGACTGTAAGAAACTGGAGGTAAAAGTACAGAAAGCCATAAATGGGAAGTTAACAGAGAAGTGATGACAGTGTTCTGCAATGCTTATGGTGTATGTTGTAAAACTCCCCTTACCCAAAAAAAGTTGTGTAAAACTCCCTTTAGAGAGCAGCTGTGAGCCTGTGATGCCTACAACCATCAATTTGTGCAGCGAAGCTGAAAGGTTGTTGCACCTTTATGCTCTTCTTCCATAAATAGACTATGTTATGAGGCCTCTATTGCCCTCCTAGATTGTTTAGAATTTGCAAGTTCAAGGACTACAAGCATCTTTGAATTATGTTGATACGTTAGAATTGTCTATACAACCAGACCATATCATTTTGGAGGAATTAGTCTCAATATTGCATTAATCATGCTCATCCTCTAAATGTGAGGGATTGAACTCATGGTTCAAAATGCACTGTGTTGCACCCTTGGAATTGCTGAGCAGATTATTACTCAAGATGTAGAAAAGCAAGTAGAACAGGCAAGCAAGGTGGTACCACTGGAAGGTCTTGGTGGAAATAGAAGATCAGATGACATGTCATCCTGATGACAATAGTACTATACTGTATTTCACCTTGGAATTTTGCTTCTGTATGCATTGGACAATGTGGGGAGAGGAAAACAAATAATAAAAATGACAAGTAGGATTCATGTATCCAACCCCGTATAGTTGGAGTAGAAGATAACACTCGGCAATAAAAGTGTATTTGAATAAGAAAAGAGAGATTGGAAGAAGGGAAATAGAGATACATAACTGTGGAGAGAGGAAGAGGGTGTTGGAGAAGAGAGTTGACCATCCTCTCTCCAGTCGATTAACTTTGTTTTATTAGATCTAATCTCAATTAAATGAACAATTACAAAGATGTCCTTAGTAGGGCGGCTGCTGACTCAATAGCATAAAGAAAAATAGTAACAGGCCCATGAACATGAGGTCCTAACAAAAGAATAACTAGTAAGAGAGCGAATAAAAGAAACTGGTTTGGTCCAGTATGGCTATGGCAGTATCTCTACAGTTGGGACAAGCCTTAGGTGATGATGGTGTTGATAAACAAGGGGTTTTTTTTTTTCTTTACTTCATTTTTTATCTCTTATTTTTCATTTTATTATTTTTTTGGTAGTTTAGTTCTATCTGAATTTAGTTTGTTATTCACTTGTATTCTGCATCCACTGAATCATAAACACTTATTTGGTTTACAATGAGCAGGCGGTATACTTGACAGAGTGGACAGTTACATTTTTACTGGTGCACTTGCATACTCCTTCGTCAAAACATTACTACCACTTTATGGAGTTTGAATATTAAAACTGAACATTGCTGATAAAAAGCACAAGAAGTTTCTGGTTCACTCATTTCGGGAATGTGACAACTACCAGTAAGTTTCGAAGAGCATGCGAGCAAACACAAAACCATTTAATTGGTATATTTATTCTTGGAGAAGAAACATGGGAGCTTGGTTGAATCTTCCTCAGCTTTAATAGTTCTCATTCTAATCCCTGTTCAAGAAAACACTTTGATTTATATGTTACCTTTATTATATTTTTTATTTATATGTTAAATTGTTTTCCATGATTCGATCTTACTTGGATTCAAAGTACCTCTCACTCCGAATCTGCACAAGGGCACGAACACAGCAACTGTGTTGGATATCTATAATTGATCCTCCACATCGTGAAATTCCATTCGGTTGCTTGCAGAGGCTATTGGTGCACCTGTTTATGATAAAGTTGGTGTGAACATGAAAATTGGTTGTTAAATCCTAGTGAATTGTAGCCCTTTTTTTGGAGGATGCAGAAGATATTCGTTTTGTGCAGCTTATATTTTGGAGAAGAAGATTTGACAAAGAAAGATTTTTTAGGAGTATTAGTTCATTTTGGTCTAGGAATTATAGATCTTTGTTCAGAAATAAAGACAATAAAACAGCTTCTTGTTAGATTCTTAGTACACCTATACAAGTCATTTACTACCAATTAAATTGAAGAAAGGAGGATTGGAAATTTGCCCTGAATTATGTTTAAAATTTGCAGATATTGTAGTGAATCGAATTTAATCTGTTCTCGTATTTCTTAGATTCCTAACTTGCAAAAATGCAACTTTAGGGATCCCTGCCAATATGCAAGATAGGCCCTAAAGCTGGTTTGAGAAAACAAATTTTCCTAAAAGTGAAACATGGAAAACATGTTTTTGGTTGTGATTTGATATTGTTTTTCATTAGGGAAAATCTATGATACTGGAAAGACATGGTACCAGAAGAGCCTTGACCAATCAAAGCACCCCGTGAATTTTGATGAATACCACCTGATTAGTCACYTCCTTGATACAGATTGATTGGCTGTAAGTTATACCGGCATACTAGTTATGGTACTCGGGCAAAGGTTCTACTTTTTTTTTACCGGTCTGCAAAGGTTCTGACCTAATGTATACGTTCATTTTTCTTATTCTTATTTTAGTTATGGACCTAAATTCATATGAATGTGGGTCGCCATGTGTGGGAAAATGGGCCCAAATCCATAAGAGCTTTAAAGCAGCACCTGTAAATTTTGTATTACATATTTTCAAGGGGATGTTTTCTGGAGTCGAAATGGCGATGTTTTCACTTTGTTTTGAAAAAGAAATAAATTCTGTGAGTGCATTCCGTGTTTGTGTTGATGTGGTGTAAGAAGAAAAAAAAATCATGTTGGCAAGCACCTTATTAGTTTCCGACAACTTGCTGTATGATTTGAGATCCTCGTCATAGCACATTTATCATCCATTGTCTAAAAAATCATGGATAAAAATTTTTGTTGCCCGAAATATCGAGCCAATTGGTGTGTGATGAACAGGTTTTTTTTTTTTTTTTTCTTTTTTTTCCTCAGGGTTTATTCAATGTGAGCATTCTCGTCAAAAAATCACTATTAAGATTACAGAAGTAACAAGAACAAAATTGTTCTGATAAAAATCTATAAATTTCAGACATGGACGAGGGGCTAATGTATAGGTTCTACAGCATGGCCGTTACTTTGAGGTATTGTAAGTTGTAACACCCCTTCACAATCATTATTGAACACGATTTCATTGCTGACCAAATGATGTGGGGGATGACTTTGGTGGATTCATCCCACTAATAATGTGCAGTAGTATAAATCCCTACACAACTCAAAAGTCAAACCTTACCTCATTAATGCCATTTACAGAGGCCTTGCTTGATGACACTTCTGATGCTCAGTTTATCTAGTTTGTTGCTTCTTTTTTAGTGGTGGTGTCCAGTTGGTTTTGGTTTGTTTTGGCCAGTCAGTGTTTGTGTTGAGTTGTGGGTTGTTTTTTATGCTTTGTATCTATTCCATGTAATCTGAACATTTTCAACGAAGAATTGCCTTTTGGCATATTTGGGATAAAAAAAAAAGGTGAAAACTTTCTTGACCCCTTTCAAACCACTGGAGTCTCTGACCTCCTAGAGCTTGGTAGAAGTCATCATGGAGTCATGGGGCTAATGGGCCTCAATGTTGTCGGGGTTGCACCTTGCAAAGCAAGAGGAAGGCTAAGAGCCCATAAATCACAAGAGGACAAAATTAACCCCCCAAGGGTTCTGATTTGTTACATGTCCTTTGTGATTTATTTAAGTGCTCCATGACAGCCAAGCCTGTGAGACTAGCATTTGCACTAAAAAAAATTCAAAGATCCACCATATGACACTGAACGAGCTTTGGTCAATTAACCCCCCAGGGTGAATTTGGATGAATATTAAATGCTCGTTTGGGAGGGCTTTTACGCAGCAGCTTCTTCTGTTTTATGAGCCAAGAAATTGGGAAAGTTGTGAAGCCCTGGTTGGTAAAAAACCTAAAAATCTAGAAAGCCAGAAGTAGGCTTACATGAGCCAAAAAACCAACTTTCCGGAAAAGCTATTCAGAAGTGGCTGTGTCAATGCAGCTCAATCACCGCAGATGCCCTCCTAAACAGACTTCTAATTGTTTGGTTAGCACTTTTATAATCTTTAGATACCTTACTTTAGGCAGTATATGGTAATCACGAGAGGCTTAGGAGTAGGGGTGTCAATTGGACTGAATTTGGTTCAATCTGGTTCAGTCCAATGTGAATCCATTATAAATGGATCAGGTCCAATCCAGTCCAATGAATATTTTGGACCATTTTGGATTGGTCCAATTCAATGTCTGGACCATCCAATCTGTTCAAATTAGTTTTAATTTAGATTGGTTTCAACCCAAATATGGTATATTGATACCTATATTCTTATCTTATATCAATGGACCAGATGTTGGCTTAATCCAATACAATCCAATATAAATTTATTACGGATGGACCAAGTCCAATCCAATCTAATAAATATTTTGGACCGGATTGGTTCAATCCAATATATCTTATTGGTCCATCCAAATTAATTTTGGACTAAGCGGGGTTCAATCCAAAACCGGTCCATTGACACCCTTACCTAGGAGGTTCCTCAATGAAATGAACCATGTTTTCGGTTTTCCAGCACTGACCTATTCTTTTATCATCTCTTCATTTTATTTACAAAATCTTCAAGAATTCTGCAGTTGATCATATATGTCCAAGGATTTGTCAAAGATCAAGATTTATTGCACCTTTCGTCCAATATATTCTACACCCGAAATTCAACCCAAAAAAAACAAAGAAAAAAAAATCCAGAAGCCATCGACTTTCAGCCAATTTTGACCCCTAAACCATGTGTCTACCATTATTTTTAGTGATCCAAGTTCTAAACTAAACTAGCCAAAGACTTGAGATTCTCATGAACCATCCCTAGAAAAGCACACATTCCATCGCGAAACCCTAAGACACTATTGCTCGAATAAGCTGAACATTAGATTTCCAACATATTCGCTTACATTGACTAGTAGGTGACGAAGCACCTATAATGGCCCTCGAAAGCTTCATAGAGAATGTTCCGACGAGAGATAGACTCGTGATGGTAAGAGATGTCGTTAACCTTCTAGGCTAAGGAAAGATCTTAGAGATTCTACCTGCCTGTGATATTTGATTAAAAGAGGCAAATCCATCACATGACGTTGAGATATGCTTTGATTCTTGCCCCTTGTTTGATCGATTGCCATCACTAAAATATTAATACAAAATACCCTTTCGAGAAGCAATAATGAATTAGAGAAACCATCCATAAGGATAGGTTTGTTAAAGAGTGCAAAAAGCATCTATGTAAATGTAAATTTGGCCAAAAATTGCATTGATAAATTTTGTATTGTGTTTGATTGATTGTGAGTTGTGATTAAACCTGTTCATGGGCTGGGCCGGGCTTTAACTCTATATTAATAGATTTTTCTAAGGCCCGAGCCCGAGCCTGGCCCGACCATTGGGCCTACAACTTGGGCCCGAGCCCGGCCCTCATAAAAAGCCTGAAGCCTGGGCCTGAGCCCGAAGCCCGGAACTGAGCCCGAGCCCAAATTTAGTCTATGCTGTTACTACTGCTGAAGTGGTTGAATAGAGAGAGAGAGAGAGAGAAATTATAAAGAAAAAAATAAAAAATGTATATATTAAATTATAAATATATATATTTCAATAAATATTATACTATTTATATATTTTATATAATAAAATATATAAAATACATATTATGTATTTTATAAAATATATAATGTTGAGTTGGGCCAGGCTTTTTTGACAAATCCCGAGCCCGGCCCGAAACACAGTCGGACTTACTATGTTAGGCCCGAGGTCAGGCCCGCGGGCCTAATTACATGACTAAGCTCGACCCGGGGTGCGGGCCGGGCCATCGGGCTACCTGGCCCATGAACAGGTCTAGTGGTGATGAGTATAAATAGTGTTTTAAAAACCAGACCAGACGGGATTGTCAAGACTGGAAAAATCGGGAATTGGTCATCGGTTCCATCTCACCTCAAAACTATTTTTTGGCCAAAACCCGTTGATTTGGTCAGCGAATTGCTGACTCAGGCAATCAATTTTTTATTTTTTTGTCAAAATAGGCCATCCATTTGGACCGGATGGTCAGATCGTTCGACCTGAGAACCGGTCCCCAAAATGGTTCCCTGTCCGGTCTGGTTTTAAAAACCTTGGGTATAAATGCAAATTTGAGTCCCAAGAAAAAAAAGTGCAAACTTTCCTCCTATTTTTTAAGCAAACTTTGCTCTCATTTTGAATATAAAAATGGCAGGAAAAAAAAAAACAAATTTACTTTCATTTTTAGTACAAATACATATTCTTATCAAATACCTGCAAAACCAAACCATAGTACAGAATGCAGCCTAAAGCAAGAAAAAGTTGCAACCAAGATTCCTCTATATCAGAAAATACGATGGAATGAAAGATGCAGTCTGTATACCCTGAAACCAGGAAAATTTTGACATGGGTAGTACAAATCTAATAAAACAATGCATACAAATCTTTATTAGAATTGTTGAGGCTTTGGGTAGTCCACATTTCTAGATCCAGTGGGCTCTGGATCTGGACTCTTCAGAGAATTCTGTCATCTATAATTGGATTGAAAATTCACCCCTATCCAATCCGACATGACCCGATTTGCATACACATTTAAATTAAAATTGGTTTGTATTTATATTTTTATTATAAAGGCATAGGTTTAAGTTTCATACAGTTCCAATTGTGTAAGTATACAATATTAAAATCACTTTTAGTTCATTTTAATAACAATATATATATATATATTAATTTGAGCATTTTTTTGTTTAATTTATTAATTCCATTCAATATCCCATTGCCATCCAAATTTGATTTCCATCCTATATAAGCCAGTTGAAGTAAACCAATAAGATCAATTATCAACCAATCCTTGACAAAGCCTATTTAGGGTCCTGTCAATTTACGTTATAGAGATTTAGTTTATTTGTGAACCCCACTTTATATTAGAGAAAATTCAATAAATTTTGTATCAATTTTTGAGATGCAAAATTTATATTGTCAGTGAGTATAAATAAGACAAAAAAT